CTGCCCCGGGCGCCCCCGCGCCCCTCACCCACCGCCTCTGCGCCCGCTCCTGGGCCGACCTGCCCTTCGCTTCCGAGGCCCGCCTCACCCGCGTCCCAAACCCTTAGCTACCGTGTCCCCAAGCCTAGGCGCTCACCCTTTTCTCCAGCCCCATCCCTACCTCACCAGCCCCTCTAAACCCGCTTCATGGCTTCATTCTTCTCTTTATCAGCTCCCAGTCCCAATCCCAAATCCACTTCATTCCAAACCCGCCCAGCCCCATTTCGTGCTTAATTTATCTCCATCCTGGCCTCACCCCCATCCCTGGTCAACTCCAACCCTTGGCCTCAACCCAATTCACAGGTTAGCCACCCCTGGCTCATCTGCTGCTCATCTCCACCTCTGAAAGGTCCATTCCTAACCACCGCCACTGACATCTGCGTCCCAACCCCAAATCCAGCCTCATTCCCAACTCCATGCTTAGCATGCAGCCCCATTCCCCACACCCCATCCCAAGCTGCACCTTCTTCAGTCCAGCCTAGCTTGTTTCCATTCTGATCCCAGTTCCCAACCACACCCCGACATCCCTGCCTCCTTGACCATTCCCAGCCCCAGCTCATTACACCAGCCTTGCCAGCCTCTTCTACAACCCTGCCCCACCCCTAGGCTGAGCCCCTTTCCCTTACCAGATGGAGCCAGCCCAGGAAATCTTTTGCCTGGTCTCGCAAGTCTCAGGCCTCTCAGAGGATCTTGAGCAGACTTCCTTCTAGGCAGCTGCATCTAACCTCAGACTCCCAGGGAAGGGTTCCTCCAGGACCAGCCTCCTGGTGTCTATTTCCCAAAGCTCTCAGCACAGAAAGTACTGGGGCCTCAGAGGAGTCCCCTGCAAGGGAGCGGGCATCACTGCCAGGGCTTCCTGAAACATCTCCACTCATTGCTGAGATGGGACCCTGAAACCCTCCCCAGCTCTCAGAAGCCTTTCCCACTCACCACCTACAAAGCCTCCCATTTCCATCTTCCCAGGGGAGGTGGCAGAACCTGAGCAAACTTTGCCTAGTCCAATCTGGGAGCTGGAGGAGGAGTTAGTCCAGCTGGGCCTCTGAATTCTGAGTTGGCCAAGAGAAGAAGGAGAGCATTGATCTCCAGCAGTGGTCCCCAGCACTTTGGAGTAGGAAGACCCTCTTAAAACTCAAAATGTTCCACAGACCCCTGCCTGTGCCCACGATGTCCATGGGACCCTGGCCCTGGCAGGTTCTCCACAGCTCTGACTTGGAGAAAGGCCCAGGCAGGGTCAGTAGGATTCTGGAGGAGGAGACCCCCACAGCAGGGCTGAAAATGGTGTAGGAGGGATAGGTAGAGGGGATCTCAGGCCTCAGCCCCTTCCTGCTTCCTTTGACTTGTCCCAGCTCAGAATTTCTCCCGCCTCCCCCTCCTTGGCCCCCTTCCCAGCCTCCTGCTCACTCAGTTTCACATCCACCAAACAGAAGCCCTGCATGCCTTGTCTCCCTCAAATTCCTGCCTCCCTCCAGCCACCCACAAATTCTCTCCGGCCACACCCACTCTCACCTCTTTGCCATCTATATTTTTAAATAAAATTCTAATTTCAGAACAGTTTTAGATTTACAGAAAACCTACAAAGATAGTACAGAGAGGCCCCGTATGCGGGAGCAAGACAGTTACCTGCTTGGCTGCCTAGAGCCCACTCCTTCCAGTCCTGGAGGAACCCTTCCCTGGGAGTCTGGGGTTAGATGCTGCGTCCGGAAAGAAATCTACTCAGGATCCTCTGGGATCCTTTCCCCCTCCACATCATCTTCATCCTATAACTTGTATATCTGTAATCTGTCTCCTCCAGTCCCTGTTGTTTCTGGAACAGCTCTGGCCATGATCACCGGTGACCCCTAAACTGCCAAATTCAGTAGCCCCCTCCTAGTCCTCAGTCTCCTCACCCTGTGGGAGTGGAGGGACCACTGATCACTCCCTCCTCTGTGAGCCGGCCTTTTTTCAGCCTTGAAATCCCCAGCCCTGGTAGGTAGGTCCTGGGCGACTTCTTGGAGATCCTCCCACCAGGCCTTCATGTCTACCACCCCCAGCACTGATCACCCTCTAAGTGCAAACATATTGGTCTCTCTCACACCCAGAAAGTGAGCTTCCATCACACACTAGGAGGCTAGTCCAATGGCCTCTGGGTTCCCAGAGTGGCAAAGTCAATAAAAAGAGAGAATTCAGATCCAGAAGCTGGTCACTCGCTGTGTGACCTTGACTGAAACGCTTTCCTCTCTGAGTTTCCTCTTTATTAACATGTTGTGAAGATAAAAATGTGACTGAATGGAGGTTTGGAAAGTGAGAACCCCTCCCTTCCTCCTCACAGCCCCATCCTTCTCCTTCCCACCCCCACCTTTCTGTTCTGTGCTCCCCACACCTCTCAGGAAGGCTTCATGGCTGACAGGTCGACCTCGGGACTTTTTCGGCACGTTCGTGGAGCCTTCTCTGCCCTCAGTCTGCCTCTGCAAGGTCCTACCATTCACACTTTCAAAAGTGTCCCCTCATCCTTACAGGTGTGGGCCCTGGCACAGGGCCAGCCACTTTGCCCACCTTCGCCCTGCTCCTGATAAGCCAATTGCTGCCCATACCTTGCTAACTGTGTAACCTTAGACTTGTTGCTCGACCTTTTTTGTCTCACTCCAACCACAAAACGGGGATGATGATGATACCTACATCATAGGGTCTGTTTGAGGATTTTAAAACAGTATATAGAAAGTGCTTAAAATGGCAAGTGCACATAGTAATGCAGTTGACCTGTTGGCTGCTATTACTGAAACCTACGCTCAGAGAGGGGCAGTGACTTGCCCTGAGGCACACAGCTGGTGGTTGGCAAGGTCTGAATGGGAACCCAGGTCTGTCCCACATCACTTCAGCATACCACATATCCTTCCCACTTCCCTTACTAGCACCCCTATTTCCACATGTGGGGCCTGGCCTGCCCTGTGATTTAATCAGAAGTAGTTCCTCAGGCTACAGCTGCAAGGTCTAGGGGAGGAGTCAGGAGAGGGCAGGGGGCCTGGAC